TTATAGGCTAAATATGTATCATATTGATTTCAATACTTGGAATTCTGTATTATGATGAATATGACTTGAAAGATTCAAATAGAATATTCATGAAAATAATGAATTGACAAAAAGGAGATATCAACTATATCATTAACAGATGACTTTCTATTATTGTTATAACATATAACCTAATAATTATAACATGATAATGAGAATACAACTAATATAAATGTTAACACTGTGCCAAATCAATGATTTATTAACTAATATAAGAAGCCTAAAAGTCTTTATAGGTTATGCTCTTAATCATGCTCTACCTGTTGAATCGAAAACATTGATTATCACCTACTATTATATGAATTATATAATTTAGATATACTTCGATGATAGACAAACAAACCTGTATATATCATACTCTACAATTATAATATAATGAAGACAAAAAGTGACAATGTATGTGAGATATTATAACTAATAAATTGGAAATAACTAAAGAATAGTAAATTGTATAATAATAGTCAATAGGTCAAATGGAAACTTATTATAAAAGGAATATGAATATCTATATATAATCTAGTTACTGAACAGTTATGAAATATGAATTTATTTCAATGTATTATACTTCAAGTCCTACTGCTTCCGATTACTGCTTATACTTTTACTACCTCTAGCACTACGGGATTTGAATCAACAACTGCATCTCTGTGCTAATGTGATGTGGCAACTCGAACTGATGTACAAACGTACGACGTTCTACGTTGTTACTGACTGACTGACAATAAAAATATACATGTATGATAACAATCCATAAACAGTTCCAAAAACTACCCATAATTTAATCTTTGTTGGGATATAACAGTTATTAGTAGTTATTTATTAATTTATTTTAACACATAGATATTGATACAAGGGGGCATTGGATACATATGCATCACACAAATCTCATTTGATTTCTGTGAGAGCTGTGATACTGCCCGGGTGTCCAAAGCAAAACAAAGTTATGAGTAGTAATATATCAATTATTTGTTAATAATTTTCAGCACAAATAACATGCACAATACATGTTAATGGGAACATATCAATTTTCTTTGAAACAGTAAGTTGACTAATTATTGAAATATTCTATTTCCTTGAATAAGAAAATTAGAATCATTTACCATAATTTTCTGAAAAATTTAAGTTTGACATTAACATTGATGTGTAACAGAGAGTTATCAGAATAGGGATTTTAGTAATTCAATAGTTGAATTCATGAAGAACCTGGAAGTACTGAACGACCATTGGGTCTTAGTGTGCAAATTCTCAGCAGTGAACTTTCACGTTCCTGCTCGCAGGATTCGAACTCAAGACCTATCGATCTCGCGCGCGAAAGTTTAAACTCTAGAACAGTGGACCAGCATTCAACATTGTTAATGTCTAACTTCAACCAATCCGCGAAATTGAACCACTGTCCATCTTTGTCTTCAGTGATTTACTATTTCACAACAGAGCTCGTTGACCTCCATTGATCACAGCTTCTCACTAGAACTTCTGGAAATACCTCTGCTAAACGTTCAATAATATTAACTTCATTTGATATTGTTAACTTGACTCTTCCACTGCTAGCCATCATCTATCTTTGCTTATAATGATTGTAACTTAAGGTAATATCGAGGCAGTCCGCACAGAATGCACATATGCCAACGAAAAACTGATCAAAAACAGTCCTAAATAACAATGTAAAGATTCAAGTAAACAATACTAAGGGAATTTAAAAGTTCAGTCCAAATACACAAGCAAGTGGCTATCAAAACTCAGTAGCTAAAAAAGCGGAGTTTGAAGTGAACGATACTGGGTTCGAATTGCAGAGTGTACATCAACTCTGAGGTGCAGGTACATCCAGTTGACGAGTCCCAAGTAGGACGAAACGCGAGTCAAACTGGATTCCACTGCTAACCATTATCCATGATTGATTGGAATAATTAAATATTGTAATAATTATTGATGAACTGTTATGAATATAGCTATAAGTTAGTAGGGAGAATAGAATAGAATTAAAATGATAGATTATGTAATATAGAAAGGGGGATTAAGAACATGGAAAATGAGCAACTAAGCATAGTGTAGTCAGATAGAGGTTTTATAGATATCATAATAGTTTAACGATTGAATTCATGAGTCAATTGCAGCTAGACCACCATGAAAAATCTGGAAGCACTGGGTGTCCATTTCTTTCTAGTATGAGACTTCTCCTCAGCAGTGCGCATCCACGACCTCTCCTCCTGCGAGATTTGCGCACGAACACTTAACCACTAGACCACAACCATTCCACGAAGTAATAAGATGAAAATCATTGCCCTTTTGATAACTATAAAAATGTTGTAATAATTACCAACTAATAATCCTATGAAGATTATTGCAAAAGTTCACTGATTGAAATCATAGTCTAGTTGGTCAAGCGCCTGACGCGAGACTGATAGGTCCTAAGTTCAAATCTCTCAGGGTGCAATATCATAGATGCGCACTACTGAAGAAGAATCCCATACTGAAACAAAACAGCCGTCCAGTGCTTCCAAATTTTCCATCGTAGTCTAACTTCAATTGACTTATGATTTCAATCTGTGAAATTATATATGTGGCGTATATTAATAAAGATTAAATTCTTTATCATAAAAACAAAGTTCATTTTAATTTATTAATAATAACACCCACAACAACGAAGTGTTAGCAATCTCATAGAATGTATTGTTCATATTGTTGAGATATTCGGAGCAATGTACCAATAATTATCATGTTAAGTTTAATGGTGTCCTTGGACGTTAAATGAGCATTCCCTATTGGTCGATATTTGTTTCGCTCGTTAAGTATTGTACAAATGTTGTTTCCTATTTTATGGTACGATGTGGTCTGTTTGGTTGGTATATAAACTGAGTATGTTTGAAATATAACTATTCATAACTCAGAGGCTAAGACTTGCGTTTTGGATTCAACTGGCTGGGCTGGACAGGGAGGCGGGACCAATCTGGCTCTAGGTCGTCTTTGTGTGTTTAGGTGTCTTTAATCCGATCGGCAGTTCGCTAACCTTAAATCAACACATATAACAGTCAATCATAATGCAATCATTAAATGAATTTAAATTCAGGTCTAAGTAGAAAATGATAGAATGCTATATAAGTAATTCATAAGGTTATTGAGTTCATTAAGATAATCTATTTCAGATGGCAATTCACTTAGGAAATGCAACCAACTATCAATCCAATGATGGATACATATTGGCCCCATAACACTATTTTGTTGACATACTAACCAGATCCTATGCAGATAACGTGGATTATTTTCTAAATGATTTCCTGCCGAAAACGTTTAGATGTTAAGACTGAAAATTAATCAAAATGTCTTAAAAAGAAAACTCAGTGTATGCTTAGTCTTATAATGGGAATGGGGGTTTGTGGAAACTGTAGTTATTGAATGGCTGAATTCATGAGTCGATTTAAGATGGGCCATCACGGAAAACTTGAAAGGACTGTACGGCCGTTTCGCCCCAGTATGGAACTTTTCAGCGATGCTCATCCACGATCCCGCGTTAGGGACTCGAACCCAGGAACTTCGATCTCGCTCTTGAACGCTCAACCTTTTGACTACTGAGCCGGGATTCAACGGTATTAATATCTAAATTGAACCAATCTGAGATATTGTCTTGGAGTCGATAGTGCAACCAGTGTCTAGAGGTTCGTTCTGTGATCTTGATAGTTTGGTCGTGAAGCTTTCATCGTTCAGAAGAACGATAAACATTCAGGTCAAGGAACAAATCTCCACCATAATAATCCACCTGAGCTACAAAGTCGAAATTTTCAATAAGAACGTCAAAACAGTGCTGCTGTACAGAGCTGAAACGTGGAAAACTACCTTAACCATCATCAAGAAGGTACAAGTATTTATAAATAGTAGTCTATGCAAGATACTCAATACCCTTGGACCAGATACCATCAGCATCAGCTTACTGTAAGAGATGATAAATCAGCTTCCAGCTGAGTAGAAAATTAGGAAATGACGACGGAAATGGATAGGATATGCTTTGTGGGAATCAGCGAGCTGCATCACGAGGCAAGCCCTAACGTGGAACACTGAAGGGAAACAGAAATGAGGTAGACCGAAGAACACAGTACATGGAGAATCGGAAGAAGACATAAAAAGGATTGTCTAGGATAGCGTTTGATGGAGAGTGCTGTTATGCGTCCTATGCTCCTCCATGAGGAATAACAAGCATAAGATAATAGTGAGTTACAAATCTTCTCCACTATCTTAAATACCCTCAGTCGTATAAGAATTTTCAATCGAATTGATTAACTGATTATATTTACCAATAAAATCTATTCGTTTATTTGACTATCATTTTATACATAAACTATATCCAATCATAAATTAAGGAAAATAGATTTCAACTCTCTGACCAATCATTAAACTATGCCAAAACAAATCAGACCTAAATTTTAGTTGTCCCTTAGATTATGAACACGCTTTGGTATGTACGTCCTTAAGTTATGTCAGTCCGTTACAGATCTACATATATAAATGTATCCATTTATCTATATGTCTGTGGAAAATACAAGCATTGGTTTTTATTAGATGTACATATAGAGTCAACTTTACAGCGCCTATTTACCAGATCTATATATCTATATCTATATTTAGGCATCATGTTTATAAACAAACAGTGAACCCAGTATTATTAAGATACATATATCCCTGTATCTATATAGAATGTTTTACTTCAAAATGGATTGATATAACACATGATAACTAGTAAACTATCGACAATATCCACATACTCATCATCATCAGTATTATTCTTGTTTCTACATAGATGCAAACAGATCTTTTCTCTTCTTTTCTTTTTTTGAGGTGGTTGCGGTTGGTGAATGTTACTTTTTTTCTTTTCTTGAATGATTCCATCATCGAATTGAAAGAAAAACAAAATGAGGATGATCCAACATTTTCATAAAAGATCCGATTTGATTAGGATCATTCTTTTTATTATAATGATTTGGTGTATGACTATGTTAATGGATTTATCCAATGGTCATTTACTGATAAAGGAAGAAAAAAATTTTCGGAAATTAGTGAATTTGATTCATTCTACAACAACAAATGATTTCAATCTATGTACAATTCATTCACATCAATTGCAATATTTATTATATACTACTTATAATACTACTAATACTACTACTACTACTACTTATGATAATTATATTCTATCAGCAGCAGCAGCAGTAGCGTCGTCAGGATCATCAGCAGAAGGATCAGGATCATCTACCACGATTAATTTAAATGAAACATTTTATCCAATATTTCTTCATTTAATAATACAAAACTGTTTAACACAAAATTTCTTACATGATATATATAGTTATATACAGATTATAAGGAATTTCAATCGTTGGCATAGCAACAACCACTAACACGACAACGACAACCCCAACAACTTCAACAATCATGATACCAGGAAACAATTAGAAGTCTATTGATTTCATTTATTACAATTAAATCAACCAATTGGATTTTATAATATAAAATTATTTGATAATTTAATTACTATGACTGATGATTATGATCAAAAATCCAATTTAATTGGTATTGGTTACTGTTTCAATAGGATATTAATGGCTTATGTCCAGAATTATACTACTACACCTATAGTAGTATCAGTAGTAGTAGTAGTAGTACTAATGATTCCTCTGATCGTAATTCTATATGTAGTTAATTTCTATTGAATGTACAATTATTTGATAATAATAATAATAATGAGACTATACGGTTTAATGATTATAAATATGGAGAATTTTCATCATTTTGGGCACCAATTCAATGTGAATCTAATTCAATCATACCAATAGTTTTACGATATTTTATTTATACAAAAGAAAAAAAGGGTAAGTTTTTCTTTTACTTTAACATGATATAGTTCGATTTGAGTTTTCAATTGGTGGTAATAATCACTTTTTTTAAATGAATAAAATCTCTAGGAGTAAAGTGTGTTACACCGGTTACTCCCAATGAAGTATAAACCGCTGATCATCATTCTTCAATTCACTCTGTTCTCGGCTTTCCTATCTAGTTCTATCCGATTTTCGTTTATTTTTCTCATGTGTGCTTCCATTTCTCGGCGTAATGTATTCTTTAGTCTTCCTTCTCTCCTCTTTTGGCCTTGAGGATTCTATTTGAGGGCTCGCCATGTGATACAGTTGTGTGCTTTCCTCAATGTGTATCCTGTCCACTTCCAGTGCCTATTCATGATTCCTTCCTCCCTTTGAATCTGGTTTGTTCTCCTATTGTAGGTTGTTGTTGGTAGTGTCTGGCCAACGGATCTGAAGGATTTTGTGTAGACAATGGTTAATAAACAGTTCTATCTCCACGAGCAAACCATCCAGCTCAGAGAACAAAATTCCATCAAAGACAATTACTCATCAACATATACTTTGAATATTGATGTGGATATTGAGCTGGACTAATTACTTGCTTTACGGTTGGAAATCTTGAAGTCTTGGTACAAATCGATCATTATCCAAACGCATCTAAGAACAATATCCGGCCTGGCTCTTGAAAGAGGAACGAAAAAACAGTCACTAGTTCGATACAGTAGCACTTAATAAACTGTGGACCTATCGCTCCAAAAGACTCTTCTTTTAAGATATTTTACAGAGACAAAGGAATTGGATTGAAGCGGTTTCGAATCAATACTTTATGCACCGCAGAGGCATTGACGATCCACAAACGAAAGCCTGAAATTTGCGTGCACCTAATCTTTATTTGTCGTATTGACCTTTTATATTTCATAAATAAATATTCCTAACAAGTTTGATTCACTTGATATTGTTTTACTTGTACTTTCCCATTGATGTTTAGAACTGAAATTGATCATTCTCATGTTGGCATATGTGCATACTGTGCGCATTGCCTCGATATTGCTTTAATTTACAAGCATTATAAGCAAAGATGGATAGTGACTAGTAGTGGAATCCAGGACGCGCGTTTCGTCCTATGTCCTATGCATCTCAGAGTTGTTGTTCACTCTGGAACAGCTAAATGTGCGGTCAGATAGTGTTTGAAAATTTTACGCCAATATATCATGTACTTCTGATAATCTTAGTTTTCTCAATACATCATCCAAATAAAATATTAGGCAAATGCAAGTCATTTCATAAAAACACAGGTTTATTGAAATTCAACACAAACATGCATATGGAGCGGACATATAGGGATAGTGATTAGCCATTATCAGTTGGTTGGTTTATGACCTTCAATATTTAAATTAACTTAGTATTGTTTATTCGAATCTTCTCATTGACGTTTAGAACTTCAACCAATTGCAGAACCAAGTGGCTGTCAGGAATCAGTAGCTAAGTGAGTGGTGCTGGATTCGAGTCCCGGAGTGAATATAAACTCTGGGATGCAGGTACATCCAGTTGACAAGTCTCAAATAGGACGAAACGAACGTCCTAAATTCCACTGCTAGCCACTATTTATCTTTGCTTCAGAATTTAGTCTTCATTCATCGGATAAGTAAGTAATAATTGTTGAATTTAAACATGTTAATTACTAGATACCTCCTCAATGTTTCAAAGGTTAAACACTTACAGCTCCTAGGTGCGATTCCTATCGACCTGTAGATGCAAACTACCGAAGAATCCCATTCTAATATGAATAAACTGTCCAGTGTTTCATATATTTTTATGGTACTTTAACTAAGGTCAGTCATTAATGCTAACAATGAAATATCGGCTGTAATTGGTTAATATCTAGTTCTTCAATTCCATGCCTACTCCTAGAATCACTTTATGCCGTCAGTGTAGTATAGTTTCACTGTAAAGTTTATGTCGGTCTTTTTCACACACTTTATATCTTGACCACAAATCAACTAGCTAAATGAGTGGGTATATGTCATTGTGTTTCAGGTGTGAAATGTGTGGAATACACAAACATAGTTAAGCATTTCTATTTGTGTTATTTTACCAACTGATATTCTATTCACCATTGATACTAATAGTCAACAATTCAACTAAGGGAAACATCTATTCATGTTATGATAGTAGGAAATGTCACAATTAACAAAATTCTCTGATTTAATGAATCATGATAGTCCTGGTTCTATGAGCTTCGATGAACAGAATAATAAGGACATTATTATTGTAAGATCCAAACTACGTTTGGACTGCTGGACAGCTGTCTGGATGAGTTAGATACGCGCCCTCGCCCGATTGAAACCAAAACAAAGTAATTGGGTAAGATAGCGGTTCTATAATTTATCATAAATTTAAGTGTACATTATTACCTAAACAAATATAACCACTCAGCTATCCAACCAATAATTGTTTAATTGATCAACTCTAAACTATAATAAATAAGAACGTTGATAAAGGATGCAAGAAAATTACCAATCACCACAAATAAATGTTATTCTATCCTGTCTGGATAGATCACGTACAGATTCGTTCAAAAGGTAATACTTGGTCGCTCTATAACCCAGAGTGTTTTCAATTCTGGAAGAGTGCTTCAATTCACAACAAAAATGCACAGTCCCAGTCAACGCAGGTCAAGCAATCACAAACAGGAACAAACCAAAATGGCTGCCGCCAAGACTTAGTATAAAGTAAAACAACATAAGTGCAGTTCGGGAAGAAGCATAGGGAATTAGTGAAGGTGTGGTAAAAACGAAAACTATAATAAAATACAAATATTAACAATTCAACTGTAGTCAAAAAGTTAACATTGTACGACTAAAAGAATCAATAGGAACAAAGTGCAAGTATATACATGGAGGGATTTTCACGAACACACAAAGCATTCAAAATGGATCTTACACCGGCCCCCAAAATCCCTCCATATCACACAAGCTACCTTGATGCCTATGGTCATGGTTCATTATGTAGCATATGACACTATAGGAATGAATAGGACTTACAACAGTACGCCTACTCGACCTACCTACATTGATAATACGAGGAACTAATTCGAGCCTTCAAGGAGGCATAATCTACGTATATCTCTCCTGACTAATCCACCGTTCGTACGAACAACCACTGTTCTAACTCTTCCGTCGTCATCTATTTCACAATCTTCAACTACTCCTAAGGGCCATTTTCCACGCGTCGATATGTCCGAAGCCACGATCACTACATCCCCTTTCTGAAAATTGCGGTGTTCAACTAACCACTTTTGACGTTTTTGTAGGGATGGTAAATACTCTCTTAACCACCTTTTCCAAAACACATTAGCAAGATGATTAACCTGTTTCCAACGTTTGTCATATTTATCTCTGATGCTACCTTCTTCGACTATTCCGTCACATTCTCTCAATAACAACAAACTGTTTGGCGACAAAGCTAGTTTATCGTTAGCATCTTGAACGACCGGAGTTAAGGGTCGATCGTTCAATATCCTTTCAATCTCAATCAAATAAGTGTTTAAAGTCTCATCGGTTAGAGTCTGCTCTCTAGTTATCAGCAATAACAGTCGGCGTATGGACCTAATCATCCTTTCCCAAACCTCACCCCTGTGGCTGGCTGAGGGCGGGTTAAAATGCCACTGAATCTGCCTAGCTGACAGTTCTTTGTCTATTTTCTGTTGATTCAACTGTTGCACAAATCTCCTTAACTCAGAGACCGCACCCACAAAATTTGACCCATTGTCACTGTAAATTTCTGCAGGTTTCCCTCTTCTTCCAATAAAACGTAGCAAGGCCATTATAAACGAATCAGTATTCAAACTGTGTGTCAGTTCAATATGTACTGCTCGGGTTTGCAAGCAAGTAAATATACATCCATACCTTTTTTCTAATGATCTTCCTCTCTTGACAACAAGTGGTCCAAAGTAGTCTACTCCCACGGCTGAGAAGCTATACCATCCAGGTTGAACTCTACAAGCTGGAAGCGGCGCCATCAACTGTTGCCCTGTATTCATCGTAAACCGCCGGCATGTCACACACATACCTATCACTCTCTTAACCGTGCTGGTTGCCTTCATTATCCAATACCATTTTCGAATTATAGCCAATACTTGGGACGTTCCTGCGTGCCCTTGTTCTAGTTGTTTTTGTAAGCCTTCTAAAGATATTCCATTGATGACATCTACTGGATCGACTGAATTACCCAAAGATTTACTCATTTTTTTGCCATGAGCATCACGAACCATAGCATGTAAATAGACCGTATGAAATGGTAATTGTCCCATTAATTTCAAACCAATCATAACCATACGTGCAACCGAGAAAAATATAATATCATGCCCAGTTTCTAATAAACTACCAGGATAATAAGCCTTTAAATCTGGTATTTGTTCAGGCCAACCAAATCCAGATAATAGAAATAATTGTGAAGAGAACCACGTATCTAATACATCATTATCTTGGTTTAAAGTTAAGTTATCTGGTGAACAATGGAAATTATCACAGGCCTTTTGAAGT